ACGAATTCCATGCAAACAAATAATATCTCAGTTGTTTCCATGTTCCAGTTCTCTGGTCTGTGTTCCATCTGCCTTGCTACATGTAGATGTCATGCTTTTCTCATTAGAACTGACCCACTTAGACTGTGTACAGCCTTCCAGTGTTTACTAACTCTCCAGACAGTTAATTGCAATGGATGTGTGTGCAAAGACGCTTATTTCTATCAGTAATATTTCGTATGAATTCATATGTTTTTCCAAATCACAGTATGCTTTTGAAAGCTACTACAGATGCTAAATGTAGATGCATACGTGGTTGCTTACTCTTTAAGCTTAAGCAATGTAATCATCTGCATATGAAGTATGTTATTGAAAAATCAGAAGCACAGCATGAAAAAACGTATTAACATTTGTGTGTGCATGCGTGGGCACAAGAAATGCCATTTTCTGAGACAATTGTTTTGTGGTCATTGCTTGCACATGAAGACCTCCTATGGAAAGTATTTTTCATTTAAGTGGTGAACTAGCATATGGTTATTCTTCTTTAGAGAGAAAAAAATCAGTGAAAAAGGTTCCACCTAAACTTATGGAAAGCCTAGGCAAGCAGTATAAACCAGAACTGGGAACATCTCCATAAAACATAACAACACCTGAAGATGTTTATAATTAACAAGATATGTGGCTGTGTCTTTATTCCAATGACAGCCATTTGAAATAGCCAGTGGGCACTCAAAATGCTGTAATTAATAGTGTGATTGTCACATCTAACATGTTTTCCATGCACAATATGCCATGTGTGAGAGAAGCCTTTTCTCTCTAGTGGAGCTCAGCTGTGATCACAAACACTGACAGGTTACATTTCATTTCATTCTATCTGGAAGGCAGAATAAGATGGTCATTACTCTGGCTGTTGTTTGGGGAGCAAGGCAGGGGAACTCTTTGTCCAGTCCTTATAATTTTTTGCTTGACCAGCAGTCAGAATCCCGAGGAAGGAGATGAAAATTGTGGTGTGAATTGGGAAGATGTTTATATGGCAGTCAAATACAGACTACGTTCCTCTGGTCTCTACATATCATTTAAGGGCTATTCCTTTGCCTTGAAAGAGGCAATAGCATTGTACCCTTGCTCAATAGCTGTTTTTGTACAGCAGTATGTGCATGTTCGTTTCTACATGCCTGATCTTGCATGATATACCTCTTGTGGTTTGACTAGTGAGTTATATGTTGCTTTTCCTAAGAAAGTGCTCCGTGATGTTAATTCGTGATGGAATCACACAAGTGTCTTTTTTATATATATATAAATGCTGCCATCTTGGCTGGAATTGTTTGTTTCTTCACTGTCCCTCTTCCTCTTTCCCAAAAATCGATTGAAGCATACATTGTGTCACTGCCTACAAAGTCCTCCATTCTTCACACCAGCTGAATGCTTTGAGCCTCTTCTTCACAGCATAGCATAGCACACAGCACTGCAAGTTGCTAGCAGCCATGATGGAAATGCATAGTTTCATGCTGATGTATTTTGCAGATACAATGCAAATAGTTGCAGTAGATAGCATTTTATTTATTCAACAATCATTTTATTGGTACATCACCACCCATACAAAAGTACTGTAGAAGATTTGGAATTTAGTGAGATAGACAGTGCTATTTCTAAATTCAGTTTGGGACCATTGCTTGCATATGTAGCCCTCCTATTGAAAATACTGTTTGTAGCTAATGGCAGAAATGTAACAATCTACTCCACAGTAGTGGCTAAGAGGCTCCAAATCCCCAGTTCAGGTCTTGCCTATGCTATGACGTCACTCAGATCCGGTGCCCTCAAAACTGGGAGATAATAAAACTTACCTTATGGAAGGAGTAGCCAGTATGCTGCCCTCAAAATTGTTGTTGGACACCAGCTGTCATCAGTCCTAGCCAGCATGGCTAGTGGATGGGTGATGGGAGTTGTAGTCTCACAACATCTGGAGGACACAACTGTTGTTTAATGCCTGCTTTCCAGTGTTGTTGTAACAAATGCAACTAGATAATACATGTGAAGTGCTTTCAACACTTGGAGATGCTACATAAATAATATTTTTTTTTTTATTAATTATTATTCTATTAGTGTTCTGCTAGAATTCAATGTTAGTTGCTGTGACTTTTTGAACTTCAAGTGGAGCAAGCAGCACTGGGTTAAGCCAATAACACAGGGCTTTAAATTAGAAACCCTTGTTTGAATCCTGGCTTTTTTTGTACTTGAAAAATGGAAATAGTTCAAATCTGCTTTGCAGGATGCTATTCATTGAACATTCATTCAGCAATTTCTAGCACAGTGTGTATGAATGCCAAAAAGAAAGATTGTTGTGAAAATGCTAATTCTGGCAGCGTTTACAGTTGGCCTCCATTTCCCACTTCTATGAAATTCTTGATTATCTAAGTTTGCAGACCTTTCTGTCAAGCCCTGTGTCCATGAAGCCATACATGAATAATGTTATAATCTAGCTGATTGATTATCCAGCTGTTTTGGATCTTCTCCAAGCCATCTGAATAAACATCGGTCTCTTCAGTACTCAAATTAGGGGAAAACACTTTTCTTTCTGGGCTGCACTTCTCCCTCTTTCTCCTAAGCCACAGCAGAGAAGAAGCCACTAGGTAGAATTCTGGCTGCAGCTCCCAGTTCACTTACAAGCTCATTAAGAATATTGGCTCAAGCATGAATGAAATTTTGGAGGGGACATTGATGGAGTGAGGATGAAGTGAGATAAATATTTTTTGCCATTATTCATGCTAGGGTTCAGATTGTATCAAGTGGAACACATTTTCCAAGACTCTGGGTCAAAGTAAATGGTACATCAAATGCATGGCTGCATCTGGTAATCTTAATTTATTTATTTAACTTATCTATATTGAAGCTACAGAGGCTTCTGATCCATTTGCAGAACTCCCAACACAGGGGAGGGAAGCTACTTTGGGTGAAAATAGCAGCTTCCCTTCCAGGACAATCAAGCAGCTTTAGGTGGTGTCGATTTTCATCAGGAAGATGGCAAGGGCAAAAGGGTTAACATGACACCCTGCCTTCAACACTGCAGTCCCAGTCGGAATCCTCTTGCATGCAACTGCTGTGTTTGCTTTTGAAGATTTAAACATAATGCAAATGTGGTCATGCATTTATTGCGTTGTCTACTTTGGATCTCAGGTGGGTGCCAAAGGGCTGCTCATTCTTTTGCTGCCAACAGGTGTATGTGTGCATATGAATTGGGTTGGAGGGTGTTTTTCCTCAAAGCCTTCCTCTCTTTAGGAGTGGTGAAGGAGGGGAGGAACCAGAGGGCTAAATGGGGATCTAGTGCTACAGGATCCTTTCCAAAGCACAGGGAAGCCAGTATGCTTCTTATTGTCCAGAGGGTCCAGGGAATCAAGAATATCCAGAGTGCACAGTCAGCTCTACTATTAGGCAGAGAGAGACACCTGCCTTAGGCAGCTGTTGCTGGGGGAGGGTGGTGCCAGTGAGGTGCTAGACACCAAAGTTGTGTATGCTACACAGCCTGCCATGGACACTTGTAAGTCAGCTTGCTGTCCTCAGATGTGGTGGAGGATGCTATCCTGCAATTAGTGTTGAAGCAAGATGCAGCTGTCAGTCTGGTTAGTTTCTGTATGCAGGATGTGTGTGTATGTGAGAGGGGTGTTATTTTATCTGTTGTTTCAAGCAGCAAAATATCTTGAGCCACCCCTGTCTGGGTGCCAGAAACTCTTGGGACATGACGGTGGCATCCCCAGAGTCTTCCTGTCTGGTGACTTCCTTGTGTTAGCTTAAAGCAAACATCAAATGCAGTTTCAAGTAGAAGCATCCTGTTTTTCAGTCTCAAATGATTTATTTATTTTTTAAAAAATGAAAAATAAAAATAGGAGGCTTACTGAGCTCCTGGTGGGTTGTGATAGTTCTGGCTGGTAACACATTGTATAGGGCTTTGCAGTAAGGTGAGGAGGAAATAGAGGATGAAAAAGAAACATTGAATTGCAGCAGAGAAGCATGTATATGCTTAATGTATCAGTAGCAGAATGTTCAAGAGCTGGACACTGAGTCAGGCACAAGCTAAAAAGTGAGCTCAGAGCCTATTCACATTGCTCCAAGCCAGACTTCAAAGCCGAACTGTCAGAGATACCAGCAAATTAAATTCTGGCTGAAGCCCCTTGAGTTTTGCTTGCTGTTCCCTGTTGGCTTTGCCACTTGCTGTTGCTGCCACTGCCTCCTCCCCATTTCTGAATACTTCTCTAGCTGTGGGATGCTTTTCCAGTTTGAAGAGAAGAAAGCAAGATTGAAAGGCTTCTGCCATCATTTGATTTGCTGAGTTCAGGTTGAAAAGCGGGATCCAAATGCTAGAATTACACTTTGAACTCATTCTTTATCTTATGTCTATCTCTGGCCTATTAGGAGACCAAGTTTAGGGGAGCCTGAAAAATCCTGTAAGCAAAAGAGAGAGTTGGAAAAAGCCCAGTAATTGTCAGGTCCTCCAGTCCGGACATAGATTTGAATCTTCTGTTTCCACAATAATATAAGAAGCACCTGTTGGATAAGGTCAATGGCCCATCAAGTCCAGCATCCTGTTCTCACAGTGGCCAACCATATCCCTGTGGGAAGCACAAATCTCATAAATCCCAAATCTCATTGAGACAATTGGTACCTGAAACATTAATTCTACTGTATATTATGTATTTTCAGAACCCCCTAAATGTGTGTGGAATTGTCAACATTCCCTTATGTCTCAGTATTTTGGACATTCATTGTAAACCAACCAAACAAATATATAAGATATTACCTAATTAGAAAACCAACTATAGTGTTCATAATCTCCTGCAGGTGATACGAAATTTTGCAAGGGGTAACAAGCACAGTAATAAAAGCAGGCTGCTAAACTTGAAGTATGTAAAATTATGCAAGTTTTCTTATTGCTAGCAGCAATTTTCTTAGCAAATGGGAATATTTGATTATATTTGTTGGCCTATTTGGGAAATTCTGGGGTAGGTTTTTCAGAACTGAAAGCCTTAGCTATCCTACGCTCAGCTGGCTAAAACATGGTGTTGATAATGCCAAGGTTGCAGGTTCAATCCCAGCTGCATATTCCTGCATAGCAGAGGGTTGGACTAGATGACCCTTCCAACTCTGAAAGCAGATGCAAGCAGAAAACCATAAGACAAAATATTCTGGATAAAGCCTTGCCTTTGCCAGCATTCTGTTTCCTACAGTGGCCAGTTAGGTGCCCATGGGAATCCACAAGTAGGGCAGGAAGGGAATATCCCTCTCCCAGTGTTTAATAGCAATTGGTATTCAGAGGCATGCTGCCTCTGTTCCTGGAATCATTTATTTATTTGGAAAACATATAGGCAGCTAAACATGAGCAAACATAACCGTATATAACAATAAATTTAGATTGAATAGGATAGATAGTAGCAGTTCTGATAACTGTCTATAAGTCAATTCATCCTTCTTGGAAGCCTATGGGAAATAGAGGGCTAGATTCAATGAGTGCTGGTAATGCAATGGAACAGCCCCTCCCCTGCTCCAAAATCAGCTTTTGGAGGTTTGGAGAACCCCCGGTGTATTGCACAGGGCAAAGAAGAGGGGAGGTCATTCTATCATGAAAAATGAAATGCTTGTACTGATGGAACAATAGGAACAGTGTGGAGCTGAATTCCTCCCCAGAATTTTCAGCATCCATCAAAAATGTGTATAATGATGGAGCCTGTCTAATTTCAATGGGCAATATGTTTTACAAGGTGGGTGCCGCTGCACTGAAGGATGTGGTCCAAGTTGCCATGAAATGATCCTCTGGTGCATGTGATACCACAAGAGGTTCTCCCACAGATAACCACAGTGAATGGGCAAAGGAGGTCTCGGATATCCTGGGCCCAAGTGGTTAGGGCTTTATACAGTAACAGCAAATTCTTAAATTTGGTCCAGTAGCACATTAGCAGTGAGTGCAGGCGGTATATAGTCATAGCATCATAGATTTGTAGAGTTGGAAGGGACCCTGAGGGTCATCTAGCACAACCCCCTACAATGCAGGGATCGCAACTAAAGCATCCATGACAGGTGGCCATCCAACCTCTGCTTAGAAACCTCCAAGGAAGGAGAGCCCACTACCTTTTGAGGGAGTCTGTTTCACTGTCAAACAGCTCTTACTCCCAGAAAGTTCTTACTGGTGTTTGGTTGGAATCTCCATTCTTGTAACTTGAAGCCATTAGTTTGGGTCATACCCACCAGTGCAGGAGAAAACAAAACTCTCTCGAAAAAAGAATGAGATTTGGCTGGAAAGACTTGTTTCTAAGGAACCCTTTATGGGTCAGTAATCACAGCATCATTTCCGAAATGCTTTCAGACCAACTGTTTAATTATCTGTTCTAGGACCTTGGTATTGATGTTAAGCTGACCAGTTGGTAGTTACCTGGGTTCCCCCCTTTTTGTTGGAGGTGGGGGCAACATTTGCCTGCCTCCAGCCTGCAGGGCTCTCACCTGTTCTCCAAGAAGTCTCAAAGATTATAGACAAAAGGCTCTGAGATTACATCTGCAATGTTCTTTAGTACCCTTGAGTGCAGCTCATAGGGTCCTGCATATTTGAATTCATTTAATTCCTGTACAATCTCTTTTCCTATCTTGGGCTGTAGGTCCCTCCTTACGTTGTTTATTCTGTTATTCCCTGGTTGGCACTGCTTTCCTTTTGGGTGAAGACAGAGGCAAAGAAGGTGTTGAGCAGTTCCACCTTCACTCTGTCACCCATTAGAATTTCTTTGTCTTCTCTTGCTTTGAACATAGCTGAAGAAACCTCTTTTGTTAATTTTAACCTCTCTTGCAAGCCTGAGCTTTGTCCTGCCTGACCCCCCTGCAACTGTTGGCTACTTGTGTATACTTTTCCTTCTTTACTTCCCATTGCTTCCAACTGCTTCTGTTGCTTCCAGTGGAAGGTGTGTATTGTGCAGCAATAATGAAATAGTTTATATTCATTAATTCAGAGGACTTCATGGGTGTTTATCTTTTTATGTGTTATTTTATTTTAAGTGTACACTAACACACTTGCTATAAGTGTGAATGTGACCATCGCATGTTTAGTGACACATGCCTCATGATAGCACACTCAATATCTCCCTGTAGAGCATACACTTGTTGGCAAGCCCAGATTTGCCTTTCATGATGTGTGGAATGGCAATTAAGTATTTAACTGTTCTGTCTGGTCTTTTGGAGCATTGGAATTAGACCAGTTTGGTGTTTTTTGAGGGCTGAGCTAGATGTTAAACTCAGTTGCATGTTACTTCCCTCTAACTTGGTTCTTGCTTTTTAAAGAAAAAGCAACTGTGGAACGCCGTGTGTTTGTACATATTTCTGGTGGTGCTGAGGTCTGCTTAATCCCATTTCCATGGTTGCTGTAGCTTTAAAAGAAAAAGAAAATTGGTGGAAATATGCATGTCATGTGGTCCTCAAAAACCTTAATTTTAGATTCGTGTTTAGTTCATATATACTTTTCTACAGACTACATTCTGGTTTGGCTCCAGAGAATCTTCCCCTAGTAGAAGACGACTCGTCATCCAGCAGAAAAGCTTACTCCATCAGAGGAAGCTTCTCTGGATACAACCCTCTGTTTCATTACCAAATAATGAATGAATTTAATGAGGTTCTTTTTCATCACTTGGCTAGGTTTGGACTTGGGCACAACAGCATTGTTTGAGTTCAACATTAAACAGCACAAGGATGGTTCTTGTTAGTTTAATGCACTGCTTGAGGGCAGAGAGGTTCCCTGCCAGATCAATTATCTATTCTGCTGTAGTAAAAATTAAACATTCAATGAGGTGATGTTTTAGCAGCTGATGAAATACCTCAACTAGTTATCTGCCTAATGCCATTTTGGATAAAGAGAAAGGCAAAACAGCATTCAGTGGGGAAGCAAATTTAATTATTTAAAATATGTGTCCTTCTTTTAGCTAAATAATATATGCCAGTTTAAAGCTATATATGTAGCATATAGTATTATGTCCCATGTTCAATACCCAGCATGTGCAAGTAAGACCGGAGAGCTGCTGCCAGTGTAATGTCAGTCATAATGTAGATAGATCAAGCTTCAAAGAAGTCAACTTACTATATCCCTATATATTCCTTATGGAATTTATTGAGTATTACTGGTCTATAATTTTCTGTTTCATTTACAGCAAGAAAAATGTGCATGCATTATTCCTGAATGATTTGCAGTTTGTCCCATCAATGACACATTCACCAACTATTGTTTTTGTGTGTAAAGATCAAGTGGAACGGCTCCCGATTTGCTGCTTAAGTTATTCAGTGTTGATTGAGCTAGAGTGGGTGGAAATGGAATTCCGTTGACAATTATTAAGAGAGTTATCAGTTTGGCACAGGCTCCAAACAGGATACCAGATGATGCAAACTCTATTAATAGAAGTGTAAAACAGCAAGATACCTGCAGGCCATCTTGTCCAATCTTCTGTGTTTTGAGACAGAGGAATCTCCACATAAATAGGTTCATAGAATCCTGGATAGAGGCAAAGATCCAAAGGACTGCACAGCTAGTTCTGAATTCATGTGGGGACTTTGTACTTAATAGCAACTCCATTGTTACATGGAAAGTGACATTTGAAACTTACGTAAGTTGCGTTTCAAAAGAAATTTGATATGGGCAGCTGCCCTTTTCTTTGGAATTCCTATTCAATTTACATGACGTCATCAAGCTGTTGCAGGCCAGTATTTTCTGAGTTCTTCTTCCGTGTTTTCTCAGACCTGATTTGTAGTTATGTATTTATAATAAAACACAATTGCTGCACTTTCCTGTCCAGTGCTGACAGACAAAGAGTTATTGGGGTTTTTCAGGGAACCAGTGCTCTTAAAAGGAAACACTCATTACAGGTTCCACCCATTTTATTGTTTCCCATTGATATGGGCAGCAGGATTAGTGGTAACTTGTCCCTTGAATGACCATTCTGAATAAGGGAGCAGGTGGTGCTGTGGTCTAAACCACTGAGCTTCTTGGGGTTGCCAATAGAAAGTGAGCTCCCAGTGCTCTGTCGCAGCTCCTGCTGGAGCTAGCAGTTCAAAAGCACACCAGTGCAAGTAGATAAATAGGTACCATTGCGACGGGAAGGTAAACAGCGTTTCTGTGCACTCTGGCTTCCGTCATGGTGTCCCGTTGTGCCAGAAGTGGTTTAGTTATGCTGGCCACATGACCCGGAAAGCTGTAGACAAACACCGGCTCCCTTGGCCTGAATGTGAGATGAGTGCTGCACCCCATGGTTGCATTTGACTGGACTTAACAGTCTAGGGGTACTTTACCATTCTGAATTGTCCTCTATAAATTTTTGTTTCTATTGAAATGCTCCAGAGGCTTTAATTACAGAATACTTGCCATTACTATTTTTTCTTTTTTATATAATGAAATCAAATAAGGGGGGGGGGGGAATGAAAAGAAACCAGCAATTAAAATTCATTTCATCACTATTTTCCAGTAGGAACCAACATGAAGTGATAAAATGGCAAAAATGGTAAGCTATGAACTTTATGTCCTGGAGGACTTTGGCTGAAGGATCTTGGCCATTGGGAAGGACATTGCAGGATAATATAGTACTTTATAACATTAAAGTGTTAACTGAAACCTCCATTTTAAATCTTTTTCCATCTAATTGTCAAAGAAGCAATTGCAGTTGGGGTGTTTGGTGTTCAAATACAACAAAAAAGTGTTAATAGAACCCCTCAGTGCACAAAACCAAGCCTTTGTAAAGACAGTGGTACTTCAGGTTACAGACGCTTCAGGTTACAAATGCTTCAGGTTACAGACTCCGCTAATCCAGAAATAGTACCTATGGTTAAGAACTTTGCTTCAGGATGAGAACAGAAATTGCATGGTGGCAGCGGGAGGCCTCATTAGCTAAAGTGGTACCTCAGGTTAAGAACAGTTTCAAGTTAAGAACGGACCTCCGGAACAAATTAAGTTCTTAACCCAAGGTGTGTGTGTGTTTAGTCGTTTAGTCGTGTCCGACTCTTCGTGACCCCATGGACCAGAGCAAGCCAGGCATTCCTGTCTTCCACTGCCTCCCGCAGTTTGGTCAGACTCATGTTTGTAGCTTTGAGAATACTGTC